TGGTTTCCCTTCCCGTGGGAGGTGGCATGAGACACGTATCTCACTTACTTACTTAGACTGCAAGTACCTGGAAGGCAGGCTCCATGTTCAACTGAGCCCAGCACTTGCAGCCTCTAACTTCCCACCGCATAGAGCTCCTAGCACCATGGCCTGAAAAGAATACACGCTCAGCAAGTACTTGTGAATGAGTGAGGGGACCAATGCAGGCTTGTGGGGTTCTGTTTGGTGGTTCTGGCATAGCCCAAGCCCAATTATATGCTAAAAACTTTACGTTAATCCGTCAAACACATTAGGTTGATACTGAAGTTTCACACAGTCATCTCATGGTGATTCTTGCAATGAACTTCGTTTGGACCAATAGTAACCTAGAAAGTGTATCTCTTTCAGTGTGCTCCACTTGAAAAATGCCCATTGATGATAGACTGGACAGGGAAAATGTGGCACATATACACCATGCAATACTATGCAGCCATAAAAAACAATGAGTGTGTGTCCTTTGCAGGGACATGGATGAACCTGGAAACCATCATTCTCAGCAAACTGACACAAGAACAGAAAATCAAACACCACATGTTCTCACTCACAGGTGGGTGTTGAACAATGAGAACACATGGACACAGGGAGGGGAGCATCACATACTGGGGTCTGTAGGGGGAAAATAGGGAGGGACAGCAGGGGGTGGAGAGTTGGGGAGAGATAGCATGGGGAGAAATGCCAGATATAGGTGATGGGGAGGAAGGCAGCAAATCACACTGCCATGTGTGTACCTATGCAACAATCTTGCATGTTCTTCACATGTACCCCAAAACTTAAAATGCAATAAAAAAATTTTTTTAACGAAAAATATTAACCAAGCATTTCTTTCCCTTTTACAAGCTAAGTCATTTCATTTAACAGCATCTATAGCTGTCAGAACTCTGGCAGACTGTGAAAAGCATCGTTTTAACTGTCTGAATTAAAAATTAATCACATAAGTCTTCCTTTGTTTTGTTTTTACTACTTAAATTCCCTACTGATAAAAAGTTCTGGGTTTTCTCTGGGTTTTTTTTTTTTTTCAGTTGTTTTGTTTTATTGAGACAGGGTCTCACTGTCGCCCAGGCTGGAGTGCAGTAACACAGTCACGTCGCACTGTAGCCTCCACCTCCTGGGCTCAGCCAGTTCTCCCACCTCAGCCTCCCTGGTAGTCGGGACTACAGGTGTGCGCCACTACACCCAGCTAATTTTTAAAACTTTTAGTAGCTACTCAGTCTTGCTATGTTACCCAGGCTGGTCTGGAACTTCTGAGCTTGAGAGTCTTCTGCCTTGGCCTCCCAGAGTGCTGGGATTACAGGCGTGAGCCACTGTGCCTGGCCCTGTTGTTTTTTGTTTGCTTATTTTTAAGATCGTTGGGGTCTTTTCCTCATAATCCAAAAAAAAAAAAATGCAGTTATTGCATTTTCTAGGAGATAAAATACCTGTACTTAAAAATTACATTTTACAATGACTCTTCTTCCAACCTCCACACTCCTCCCACCCAATACTGTTGGAGGTGGAAGTGGAGGTGATCCTCTTGATCATATTTGCCTCAATTTACATGATAAATTACCAAACTTTTGCAGTTTTCTTTAAAAAAAAAAAAAAAGGCAGTTCCAAAGACCCAACGCAGAGTTGCCCAAGGAATTTCCTTCTCTGGATCTGCTTGTGCAGGAGTTGAAATGTTCATTGAGGTCATCGGGCAGGCAGTTCAGGAGCTCTGGACTAGAGTATGCTCAAACCCAAGAAGACTGCCAACCTCCCTTTCTTGAAAACCCTTGTGCATGCAATGTCTCATTTTCCTCAATAGTTTGCCCCTTTTTGTCTTCTGGAAAGTAAGTTCATTTGTTCATGCTGCCCTCGGTGGAAGTAAAGAACCCCTATTGAGCCCCCAGCTTCACTGCTGGCTTGTAATGCACTATTCCCCAAAGTGGGGGTTCTTATTTCTGAAGAGGGGCTCCCTCACCCACCTTGCCCCATCGGATAACTTAGAGTTTGGTACAAGCCTTGCAAATCATGTAGTACCAGCCCCTCATTGTAACAGCTAGAAAATGGAGGCCCAGAAAGATCCACTCATGTGCCCCCTGCACAACACTGCTTACCAGTAGCCAAGTGCTGCCTAGAACACAGGCCTTCTGGCCACGAGTCCCGTGTTCTTTCTTACCTAGCTTGGTGCTTACAGCTCTCCTGGGAGTAAAGTGGCAAGCCCCAATAGTGTTGCTGAGTGCCAGGCATGAAGCCAGGCAAGAATCAGGTCCTCTACACCCTTGGTACTCAGAGTGCATGCCACGGACCACCAGCATCTGCCCCATCTGGAAATGAGTTAGAAATGTGGAGTGCCAGGCCTCCCCCGAGACCGACCATATCAGACTCTGCTCTTTAACCATATCCCCAGGAGACTCACAGCCATATTGAAGTCTGAGAAGTGTTGCTCCATGGCAGGAAAAAAAAAAAAAAAAGATGCATCTTCACTTCGTGAGTTAAGCTCTGGCCAAGTCCTGAGCTCACGTCACCTCCCATGGCAGATCACGCTGAAGGATGTGCTGGTGATCTGACCCCAATGGACTTGGCACCTCGAAACACTAAGGCCAACTGGGTAATCTCCAGAATAGAATCACTGGGGCCCAGTGGATGCCTTATGTCATCCATACAACGCATTTGTCAGTTTTATTTTGTTTCCTTGCTGAAATTCTGATTTACTTACAGACTACTGAGGGGTAACATGGGGGAAAGGTTGAGAATAAAAGTATTTCTTCACGGAAGATCAAAGATTTCCTCGCTCCCTTTTTGTCCTAAGTGTTTCTACACAAGAATTGTGAATAAAGGAACACAGCGCGCACTTCATGCCTTGATTAAGAATGCAGGTACAGGAGTCAGGCTTCCTGGGAGCACGGCAGAGCTCTGCTTGCTTCCATCTGTGTGACCTTAACAGCTCAACATTTGTGTCTCAGTTTTCTCCACCTTTAAAATGGGAACAAAAGTGACACTTATTTCATAGGCGTATGATACGGATAAAATGGTAAATGACAAAGCCTGGCACACAGTGAGTGCTCACTCACTATGAGCTACTGTCATTATACATATCCTGTGTGTCAGTGTCACTTAAAACCCCTGCAGCCTCCAGAATCGTTTCTTCTTGTGATTGACCCAGATCATAATCAACAGCCAATCAACATAAAGAAACCAATAATGGGCTGGGCGTGGTGGCTCACACCTGTAATTCCAGCACTTTGGGAGGCTGAGGCAGGAGACCCTCTTGAGCCCAGAAGTTCCAGACCAGTCTGAGCAACATGGTGAAACTCGGTCTCTACAAAAATACAAAAATTAGCCAGGTGTGGTGGTGTGCGCCTGTCGTCCCAGCTACTTGGGAGGCTGAAGTGGGAGGACAGCTTGAGGCTGGGAGACGAAGGTTGCGGTGAGCTGAGATCACGCCATGTGCTGCAGGCTAGGTGACAGAGGGAGACCCCATCTCAAATAAATGAAAAAGAAAAGAAAAGAAACCAATGTGCAGCCAGGCCCAGTAATCCCAGTGGTTCAGGAAGCCAAGGTGGGAGGATTGCTTGAGGCCAGGATTTCGAGACCAGCCTAGGCAACATAGCAAGACCTCATTTCTACAGAAAGAGAGAGAGAGAGAGAGAGTAATCCCAGTGGTTCAGGAAGCCAAGGTGGGAGGATTGCTTGAGGCCAGGATTTCGAGACCAGCCTAGGCAACATAGCAAGACCTCATTTCTACAGAAAGAGAGAGAGAGAGAGAGAGA